GTATTAGCATAACCTTTTAAAGCAGTAAAATTATCAGTTCGTTTTCCGATTGTTGAAATAGCATATCTTGATAATGCTTTTCTTACTCTAACTCCTTTAACTGCTTTATCTAATATTTCAAATCGTTTAAATGCGGGTCTTTTTAATACATCGTTTAATTGTTTCTTTAATCGTCCTGTAAATGGTTTATCTTTATCATATTTAAAATGTATTCCATCAATTGTTATTTGTTTTAATTCCTTTCCTTTATTATTTGTTTTTATATTTCCTAACTTACTACTTAATACATACCTCATTGCGGTTTTTAGGGCGTCCTGCTCTGCCATTGAGGTATAAGGTGTCTTCCCTTTAAGTAGTTTTGGGGTTGCTGGGCGTTTTGGGGTTGTGCTGGGTGTGGTGGGGGCTTCTGGGTCTGGTGCTGGGGTGGTGGTTGCTGGTGAGGGCAACCTCATAGGGGGTATGTATGCCAATACATAGGGGGTATGTATGCCAATACATAGGGGGTATGTATGCCAATACATAGTATGGTAATGCAAAGTATGTCAATACATATACAAAAGTATTCTGATACATATTGATACAGTCCCTGAAACCATATAAAGAAATAGTCCTACAATACTATATGGAGAACCCTGATGGTGAAAATGTTTAACAATGCTCGGGTTGTAGGAAATACAAAACAATAGACAATTACCAACCTAATAAGGAACTTTGTAATGATTGTTTGGAAAACAAAGCAAAATACAGGGAAGATAACAAGGAAAGATTAAGGCAGGAGGCAAAAGACTATTATGAAAAGAAGCGAGAAGACATACTGGAAAGAAGAAAAGAAAAGATTGAATGTGAATATTGTAGATGCTTAATATCAAAAGCAAAACAAATTCAACATTATCAATCAAAAAAGCATATCAAGAATAGACAAGAAATGATTAAGTTTATCATTAGTGAATTATATGACCTGTTTAACAACAATGACATAACCGATAGATTTTATATTAGAATGAATAAGGCGATATTATTAAAAATTACAAAGATTTTCAAATTTCGTTAAAAAACCGGAAGAGGTGGCAGTGCCCCAGAAAACAGAAGAGACAATTTTATGAAAAATGAAAACGACAGAGGAGGAGATAATGAATAATCTTAAAATGAAACGAAAACTACTTAAATGAAATGAGGATAGGAAAATGAAGGAGATGACGATGAGGATGATGAGAAAAATGAAGAAAAATGATGAAATGAATGAGGAGGCAAGAACTGATAGAACGGAGGAGGTGAGGAAAATGATAAGAACGAAGCAGGAGGACAGGTTAAAGAATGAAGCAGGCGAGGTGTAGGATACAGGACATGACCCAGAACATACCCTATATATGACCTCAGCACCAGCTCAGCGCGACCTTAGAACCAACCTTTTTACAATTTTTTGGTAGGGGGGGGGGGTGCTGAGGGAGGAAGCCCTTGAAGCGCTTGAAGCGGGGCTTCAAAGGCTTTGAAGGCGGGCTTCAAGGGCTTGAAGGGCTTCAAGGGCTTCGAAAACCAAGTTGAAGGGGGGTTTCAAAGGGGAGATGAGGGAGGCTTCAAGGGCTTGAAGGGGGGCTTCAAGGGATTGAAGGGGGCTTTCAAAGGCTTGAAGGGGACCTTCAAAGGCTTGAACTTGAAGGGGCTTAAGGGAGGTTAAAAAGGGGCTTAGGGGGGGTGCTTAAGTCTGATCTTACCAGCTGTTTGGCCAAAAGGCCCGTTCTTGCCTGAAGGTCTTGGGGCAGCATGCCCGGCAAAGCTTTCAGGTCATGAGTCAGAGCGTCCTCGAATCCTGTGAGCATTTGCGCGATATGCTGCTGCATGCTGTTCCCAGAGAGGTACAAGGTCCTTTTTTGGGGGACGTTGTCCATTGCTATGTGGATGCCTTGTACGAGCCGGGTGATGGTTTCAGTGGCATATACGTGGATGCTTGTGTTCCAGTGCAGGCGAACCTATCGCTTGATTTGGATACAGGGTAGACTCGGAAGCTGTTGATCTCATCCTCCGTTCTGGGGAGATGGAGAAAAGCTTTGCGACACATGAGCTTGAGTGTGTCGCAGTTGCAGTAGCCTTCGAAGTGTTTGAGGCAAATCAATCACACAAAAACGTTGTGCCCTTTACTGATTATCAAGGAGTCCATGGCACGCTGACAAGGTGCTGGTCAGAGAACCGCATCGGGAATGGGCTCGCGAAGTTGATCTGTTCCCGTGAGGAAGGTCTCCACACGCTACTCTGGTTTGAGCGCATGCCGTCATCCAGTAACCCCGGGGATGCTCCGTCACGTGGGCTGACGCCAGGAGGTAGCTTCATGCATAAGGTGGCGTGTTGGCAGGTCTAGTGTGCACACTGTTGGCCAACCCTATCAAGTGAGGTGCCAGGTTTCAGAGGGTGCGGCGCAGGCATGCGCACTCCGGATTCTTCCACAGAGAAAAAGAATAATGCTATCTCGTGCTGCTGTTTGCATTCAATTTTGTCATATGTGGGTTTTTGGAATGATTGATTGATTGGTTGATTGATTGAATATGTGTCCTGTTTCCCGGCTTTTGCAAGAAAAGAGAATACAATACGTAGGTCGATTAAGTTCTATCTTCTCCTGCAAAGAGTTTTGTTTTGTAGGTGCAAAACAAAACAGGGCTGTTTTGGCATGGGGGTTTTGGGACACCAGCTTTATTCGCATGCATGTTTGACCATGTTGTCATGTATGCAGTTGTTTCGGTTCAGTTGACCGAAAATTTTTGTCCCAGCCTCCCAGCCTCCCAGCCCCTTTTTCTGTTGCAGGTGCAACCCACATCCAGGTGGATGTCGCCCATGTGGGCTTACACCTGTTTCGCGACATGTTGAAGTGTTTTTACCGTGTTCACGTGGATGCCTACCCCAACCGTTCCTCACTTCGGATTCTCCCACACAAAAACAAGTCATGCTATACAGTGCTGCTGTTTGCATTCAATTTTGTCATATGTATATTTGTGACCGATTGATTGATTGAAAACAATACATATTTATTCCTGATTCTTGCATTTTCCAGCTTTGCAATTGAGCTTTTGATTGTCATGAAAGTTCGATCTTTGGAGCGTAAACCTGCGATCCCAGCCCAGCACCCCAGATTCGTCCCTCAACGTGCATTTCGTTTTGTGCCGCCAATGATAGCAGTCACGGCGTCAGCATGCAACTGGATCTTGGGAGTTTGCATCAAGATGTTCAAATGTAATCTATCATGGTTTTTGAAAGGCTTCCTTTTTGCTGTCGTCAGGTTTGCACACGGGCGTGTTTTTCGCTTTGGTCTTGGGATACATAAAGTTTGGTAGAGCGACTAACCGAAATCTTGTAAACATGGCAGGGGGGTCATTGAGAGTCATGCAGCTCGCAACAAACTGGTGCTTCAATGTTGTGAGAGACTGTGTCTGCTGATCTGTCATTTTTGGTTCCCAGGTGTCACCCAACCGGAGGAAATCTCTGTTCCTTTGCGGGAGCATGCAACTTCACACGAAAGGATGCAGTGGATACCAACCACATGTGGCGACTGCAGTGGCCCCAAATCCCAAACCGTCAACACAAAATCAAGAACCCTACATCCTAAATTTCGGATCCTACATCGTGCGGCCGTCCCACATTTGGCAACGCAACGCCATGTCTGATACCATCAGAGCAACCACTGAAGATTGGACCAACAACGATATTTTGTCATCGTTGGGACTGGGGTTTTGGGGTTTAGGGATTAGGGTTTAGGGATTTTAGGGATAAGAAGAGGTTTAGAAGTGTAGGCCTTAGGATTCAGGTTTCAGGCTGTGTGGTTGACATCTATTTTGTGACAGGTTTGATTCTAGATATTAAAATGGCATGTACAGTTACTATTTCGAATCATACGCCAACAAGACCAAGGATGCAGCCGAAGATGCGGAGCAGCTGGCCATTCAGCGTCAGAACGAGGAACATGAAATGGAAACGGGCGTTATACATGGAGTATACACTTAAAGGACGCAACTTTAGTTGCCACTTACTCATTCCGGGTCACAGAGGTCACTTTACTCGCCGAAGCGCTCGTGAGGTCCCTTTGTTTGGCTCGTGTAATCTCTCCAATGTCCATGCTTGAGCCTTCTTTGCTAGTATGAGTTGCCACGATGGTGAAGTTACCATAGTATGGACATGCAATAAATATCGCGGGTTTCCTCAGAACGAGGAGTGGGCGGAGAGAATGCGTCGCCATCGGCAGCTGCAGCTGTTAACAAATTGGGTGTCGGAGCAGAAGGTAATCGGGACACCGGCCAAGCCCGAAGCAAAGAATAAGGTTTAGGGTTTAGGTTTCAGGGTTTAATGCCAAATCCCAAGCAAAAAGTCTGAACACCATAGCATGGCCACTTGATATCCCATGATTCACATGCCTGGGGTAGTGTAACAATGGTATTTTGCAAAAAACATAAACAGGGGACCCCAATAGAGACCCAATATATGAATTGCAATCCTTCGGTCCTTCCCGTGGGGTTTCCCCTATACATCTCCTCATACAACCTTATAAATCCCCTAAACCCTAAACCGAGTGGTTGTTCCAAGTTCCCCAGAGGTGGTCCGGCAAGAGTTGGTCCGATGCATTTACGCGTGCCAGGCATTGGACTTCGTGGCTGGATTGCTATGTAATCTGGGTTTAGGGTTTAAGGTTTGGGGTTCAGGTTTCTTAATGGGGTCTGTATGGGATTTAGGTTAAGGTTAGATCACGGAGGCCAGTCATCGGTTAAAAATGGAAAATGAACAATGAAACGGAAACTGGGGTCGTACACGGCGTATCTAGTGTTATTGTTTGCAGTAAATAACCTCAAAAGGTGGCCTTCTCATGGTTGTAAGCTAGTTTAAGTTCCTTAACCCGGACTCGAAGCCTAAAACCATAAATCCTAAATTCTGAAACCCCAGAAGTCTACAACCCTAAATCCTGAAACCTGAAATCCCTAAACTTCGCGTTCTCGGGCTAATTCCAGGTTGGACGTGCCTTCCGAATGCGCAGTTTGCGACAGCTTGCGAGGTTGCACCGGAAAAGTAAGGCCACCGAAAGCATCGATGAATTCTGGTCGCATTCCTGGCAGAAGAGGCCCTACCAGAAGATTTTGTGCTTGCTTTTCCTGAAGAATAGTATTGCAGCCAGTTTCGTTGGAACAATTGCTGCGTCAATCGTGTTCATCCTCATGCAGCATGGCTTCCTGCTCCTTCGCCTCAGCGATGATACCACCAGCCGCTTACCAGTGTGTAGGGGTGAGTGGGGTCATAGTCCGTGTGAATCACTGGAATCTCCTATCATATCAATCCTAGTTAAGTATTCCCTTTCATAGCACTTATACAATCCCTGTACACTCCGTATGCGATCCTTTGTTTTACCACCCTACACCCAGAATCCCTAAGCCCTAAAACATATACTATTCCGCACTCTCCCCTGAGAACCAGCAAGGCGGGGGCGAACCCTATGGCAGTGCGTTCCTTTGCACCGTCACTTGTTGGATAGTCGGGCACGGTTGACGGTCCTGAAAGGGAGTTCTTGGTTGTAGGGGGAACTACCTCCAACATAATCGATTATTTTACAATCTTGATTGAACCGTTTAGGATTATGACAAATATAGTTACTGTTTCCACTGTTGATGGAGGAGTCTTGCACCAATTAATGTGCTCAAAGCACTGTACATCCTAGGGCTACAGAGATTCGAGTGATGCAGATAATCCACACCACTGTTAGTACCATGATTTGTATTCTTATTCCCTCGACCCTAGACCTGTAATTCAAAAATCCTACACCGTACATCCTAGACCCTACCCTAAACACTAAATCTTAAATCATAAACCCTTCGTTATGTGTTTTTATTCCAGTAACCTTCCCAGCTGGCCTTTGTAGCAACCCCGTTAATGAGCACAAAGTTGTTGTTCGGGGCTCGAAATACGAGGTCCGAAGGATCCAATTAAAATGACCTCATATGACCTTGCCCCATATGACGGCTCATAAAGAAAACAAGCTAATAGCTGCTAATTTTCAGGCTTTGAATTGATTATTGAATGGCTAGTTCATAGGCTCAACATAGGTCACCGGCACCTTCTTCGCAGTGCTGACGCTGTTCGCCTGGCGCTCCAGAACCAAAGTATTTTTGGATGTATGTTGCATAGATCAGGTGAATAACAAAAACAAACAGGAGGGAATCTTAAGCTTGGGCGGCATTCTGAGCAGCTGCAAAACTTTGCTGATCCTCTGGGACGAAACTTACATTGAGAGACTGTGGTGTGTGCTTCTAGGCTGAAATTCAGCTAGCTTTGCATTTTTGACCTTGTTTCGCATTCTTCAATGCAGCACCTAGGGAGAAAAATCACGTAAAACGTCCTGCTTCCGCAAGTATTTCCCGAATCACATGAAGGTTTAGTGCATCTGTAATCAAATCTGACTTGTAGTTACAACCCAATTGCAACAATTCTAGTGTATTTAGAAGGGAATATAGTTGGGGTAACTTTGGGACGATAAGTAAACCCTGAACACCAAATTGCGTTGCACGTGTGCACGACGGCTGATAACACAAAGTGCTAGCAGCTGCTAGGGTTCAAGACGTTTAGGGTTTAGGGTTCAAGGGGTTTAGGCTTTCGGGTTTCGAGTCTAAGGGGTTTAGGAGTCAGGGTTGAGGGCCTCGGGTTTAGGGATTTAGTTGGGGAGAATGAGAAAGTCCCATATGCCGTATAGCTTCAAAGATACCTGGCTGGATGCATGATATTGTTGATGGAGGAATTTTTTCATGACTTCACGTCTTTAAAGCAGGGTTTAGGGTTTTAGGGGCCTAGGGTTTGGGGGACGTTCGTTCAGGACCTCGGGTGGTGCAAGATTTCCTCCATCAACATGTAAACCCTAAATCCTAAACCCTAGACAGTATGCTTTATGGAACTTTTGAAGAGTGTTGGGCTCCTTGGGTTCCAGAGGTCTAGGGTTCGAGTTTGCATTAAGAAGTATGAGCATTATACTTGGGAGTATCTTGTAGTGTAATACTTAGACTTTTTTGTTTCGCATCAAGGTTGAGGGACGCAGTGTGGGTATAATACTTAAGGCTCTTTGTTTTGGATCAAAGGTTCAGGGGAAGACGATCATGGTTTTACTGCCAAAGGTAGGGTTTTGGGGGTCGCACCCCTGCTGTCACAAGACATGACAAAGGATTCCATTACTCCAAATTCGATAGGGATTCAGTGGGGATGCTATTGGAAGACATAGGGATGTAGTAACGGTCAAATTCCATCTGAGAAAGGCTTACGAAATTTCAACTTACTAGCAATCAAGCAAATGAAGGTTCCTAATCAAGCCTGAAATTAGTGGATCTTACCGCGCAGACCATGGTTGTCTAGTCAAAGGTAGCTTGTGGAGGGGAGGGAGCATATATGTGTACATACATACACACATACATAAACAGGGGTACAGAGGGGTGCATAGAAACTAAATGGGGCGGCGACTACTGCACTGACTCCTTTTGGTACTGCAAGCCTCGTATTGATTTTCAAGATGAAGACTATTTTTTTTTTTTAACGGGATCCTGTAATCAGCGTTGATTTGGAGGGGAAGAAATGGCGGGGTGGAAACCCTAAACCCTAGAGGATCCCATGATAATATATGCGCCAATTAATATATACATCCTTCTGCCGTGAACCCAGAACCTTAACTCTAAATCGTATATCAGAAGTATTACATACATCCATCCATTTTCCCTGCACCCAGAACCCGAAGTCCCAATAGCATTATATATATATATTTACATATACATATATAAATATATGTACATACGTATATATGTATATATATATATGTAACTTTAGGTGTATCAAGTATTGAGTTTGCCTTCTTCCCTTAATGTTAGCCCAGGAACTCAAGTTCCAAATAGTATATACCAAGTGTTGTATACTTCCTTCTTCCCTGAACCCAAAACTTCAAGTCCCGATGCTATATACTAAGTATTACATACATCCCTCGATGGTATATACTAAGTACTACATACATCCCTCTTCCCTGAACTCAGAACCTCAAGTCCCAAATAATATATCCCAAGTATTGCATACAGCCTTCTTCTCTCAACCTAGAACCTCCAATCCCAAATAGTGTATCTCAAATATTATACTTACACGTCGTCCTTAAAGCTTAGCACCATAGTGGTACGTACAACCCATGACAGCCCAAGTTTTTTAGAATTCTCGTTCAATCCTAGGAAGGCGTCGTAATAAGAACCGGGCTCACGAAAGTATATATAGATCTCACACACATTCGGTACAGGCTTGATCTAGAAAAAATGAGGAGGCCAGGATAAAAAGTTATCCTTCAGATTCGCAGTCAATCTCTTGTGCTTTCATATAGAAAAATGAACGAGCCAGTATCAGAGACTTGTCCTTGCAATCGAAACCAGTTTATGTTTGGATTTGTTTGTACACGGAAAGCAGAAGCCCGGAAGCTGGGAATTCGTCTTCAAGAAGCGAGGCATCTTTAGGCCAGAGCCCAGCGTTTAACTTCTCAAATAGCCTTTGATTTGAGAATTTGTCCAGTATCAGAGACTTGTCCTTTCAATTCGAAACCAGTCTAAAATTGGGCTTATGTAAAGACAGTCAGGTGCCCAGAAGCTGAAAATGCCTTTTTCAATTTCATATTTAGAAAACGTTCTCCACACAAAGGCAGGAGCCCAGGCTCTAGAATTTACATCGAAATTTGACGTGCATTTGGTAAGGGCTTTGTCTAGAGTAAATTGGGAGACCAGGATCAAAAAACTATCCCTCAGATTCGCAGCCAATTTCTGGACCTTCTATACAAAGAAAAGCAGGGGCCAGTATCAGAGACTTGTCTTTGCAATCGGAAACCAATTTACAATAGGATATATACGTATATGCTAGCCCCCCCAACGAAGACCAACCTTTCAGTGAACAAAAATCCAAAATTCTTAAATTCCAAAATTCCAAAAAATCCAAACATAGAAAAATCCAAAAATCCAAAATTCCAGAATTCCAAAAATCCAAAAATCCGAAAATCCAAAATTCAACAAAACAACAATCAAATTTTTGAAATTTCTGAAATTCCAAAATTCCCAAATTCCAAAAACCCAAAATCCCAAGAAAGGACCAGATTTTGGAAATTCCAAAAGTTTGACTGGATTTTTTGAATCTTGGAATTTTTGAATTTTTGAATTTTGGAATTTCGGTGACCATATTTTTGAATATTTCAGAATCTGGAATCTAAGATTCCAGGAAAAGGTCCCTGGAATCTTAGAATCTTGGGTTTTAATATTGGAAATTCATGTTTTAAGCTGTTAACTACTTTCCCCATAATCTTATATGAACTATACATAAATATGTGAAGCAAAGTGCTGAACTCATATATTATCTTCTACATCTAGCATCAGATCAGTGGATAAATTAGCAATATGGAAAGGAATTTCAGCATTCCGTGAGCCCACATATAGTTAAGGTATATAAAAGGTAGGTTTTCGGGGGTACCATATATATATATACATACATACATCTCCCCACATACCCCTATACATTGTGTATATCCCAATACAGCCCCCGGAATCCTTAAGCTCTAAGCTTTGAGTCTAAATCTTAAGCCTTTAAAGCCCTAAATCCTGAAAAGCCGCGAAGCCTTTTTCTCTCATAACCCTATCTCCTAAACCCCTAACACTTTCAAAATCCTTGGGAAAGTATGGCGAAGGTTTGAAATTGCGGCCTTTGCCCACCGCAGTGGAAATCCATGCACGGCCATCAAGCCAACCCTCTTGGGCAAGGCTATAGGGTGCTTCACACCCGGGTTACATTATAGTGAAGATGGAAAAATGGAAGCTACTCTAGTATATTGGGGATTATATAAGGCTTAGGGTTTAGGGTTTGGTGCTTGGGGTTTGGGAAGTTACCATATTGTTTGCATTAACAAAAGGACTACTAGTATAGATTTCCTTCAAAGCAAAGAGCCTTTGAGAGAGAGAGAGAGAGAGAGTGAAGGTTGAGGTTTTAGGATAGAGGGTTTGGGGTTTATTGTTAGGGTTTATGGTTAGGGCTTGAGGTTTAGGATTTGGGGTTTAGGATTCGAGGTTTAGGGTTCAGGTATCTTGAGAGATCGTTGGGCTTTCATGGTTTCATTTCATGAGCCGTGACATATACGGGTACCTCTGAGGAGTATCAAGGCGATGGTGTATTTGATAATGGATCCTGGTTGTTTCCCATAAGGCCCAAACCTTGTCCTGCCTTGAAGGCTGCCTTAACTGTCTATGCTGCGACCCCAGCAATGGGATTGCTGTGGCTTGAAACGATGCATATGAGGAAGTACGGAGAGATCAGCTTGTATGTGATGCTTGGTGCCTTCGTTGTGTACTTCTATGCGGGCGTTGCTTCCTTCCGATCATACCACTATTCGATCGAAACCTTGCGTAAACAGCTGCAAAATTTTCGACTGGCAGACACAAAATGTAACTGGGCTGCTGTGAAGGAAATTTAAGTAACCCTATTATGGTTTTTAGGTAACAAGAGGGTTTCCCGACTCAGTAACTAAACTTAAAGCAACCCAGGTAATTGCTGTACCCTGGGCCATGTTGCTCCTGACGGCAGGGAGTTGCCTTGTGATCGTCAGGTTGTGGAGAGGTGCATTTGCAATTGGTTTGGCAGCGTGGACGAGTTCGAGGTCTTCATTGTGCCCTTGCTTCGTAATACGTTCGAGAATCAACTTGGGCACAATACGTTCCCTTACATCTACTTCATGGTGGTCTTCTGTCCAGTGTTCTGGACGGGCATGGATTTGACTGCTGGCCATCGCTGGGGCTCTTGGTGGATGTTTCAATGCACAGGCTTCTGGCAGGGGTCTCATGCCTGCCCCTTGACCCTAAGCCCGACATAAAACTGAACCCCTCAAACACTGCACCACACATCTCGAACTCCAAACCCCACAGACGCCCTGAATCCGTAAAATGCATGAATACCTTAAAATCCTCAAGCCCGTAAACGCAGAGCCCTAAATCATGATTCGTCGAAATTAGGGCACCTGTATATGGCCACCAATATGTTGAAATCCTTATTGTTTAAACTTCCAAAAAGAGTTCCCCCAATTTTCGCACATTAGCAATTCCCTACCTAAACCCTAAACCCTAAACCGCATCACAGTTTGCAGTTCATTTTGCATAGTCTTCTCCATTTCAATTTGAATTCGAGCTGAATTCATTTCAAAATTTTCCTTTTAGTCTCCATTCCCAAGCCCCCCACGGGTTTCTGGTTGGGTTTTAGGGTTTAGGGTATAGTCACCCTTAAATAGACAGAATATGGCTTTGGGTATTTTATAATAAGATCCCCATGTGCCCCATATTCTACATACTTAAGGGCGATTATAAGCCCTAAACATCACGCCCTCAGGGTTTTGGTTGGGTGTCATGCCTGCAACGGCGAAAATTGGCCTCTACCTGTGCAGCTACTTCTGTAGGCCGGCAGATGGGTGGGCAGATTTTTGGCTACCCCAACCCCAACCATTGGGAGAATAAATGCAAACTGGGGCTTTAGAGGGGTCATATAGGTAGTGGTATTTGTACTCGAAAATTGGAGGCTTTTGGCTACCGCTGGCATGTCTTGGTTTTCTTTGCCCTTCAAAAGCAGGGATTCTAGGGTTCAGGTGTTACAAGGTTTCGGACATTTAGGATGTGGGTAAGGTGTAGGGATTCAGGATTTAGGTTTTCAGGGTTTAGGATATTTGCAGTCTAGGGGTAAGAGTTGCAAGTGTGTGGAGTGAGGAAATCTTGCACTACTTAGGATCACTAAGATATAGGGTTTAGGGTTTAGTTGACTCCGAGGGATTATGGGACTTAGGGTGCTCAAAGATTTCCGCCATGAACAATAGGCTTTTCCTCTTAAGGGCACGTAAATCTTGAGCTCGACATTTGAAGGCTCAGGGTAAGTACAATGACTGTAAGACCGTCCCTAGTATAAACTAAAACCCTAAAACTTTGGGGTCCCTGGATCAGCTCTACACCCTGAACTCCAGCTTGTAGCTAAACCATCGCAGCAGGAAAGAAAGCAAAATCCTTCACCAGGTCCCAGTTTCGCGTTTGAGGGTTTAGGGTGTAGGGCATAGGCTTCAGCTTTAGGGACTAGAGTTCAGGGTAGGGGTAGGGGTTTAGGGTTCAGGTTCAAGGTCTTGCATTTTAGGGATTAGTTAGGGGATTAGGGTTTGACTTTGGGATCAGGTTCGGGCTTAGGGTCAGCAATGCCCTTACCAGGCCAAGAAAATACAAAGTGTGTGACTTGGTTCTGAATCTGGCCATTGTCCTCGTGATGAATGGGTGCTTCGTGGCATCCCTCTTTGCGGCAAGCCTCTTGAACCCCAGAGGCCCTCGTTGGGTGGATGAGTACACGAAGGACATGACTCTCCGAGCCTTCCTGCCCTTCGGCTACATGCACATACACTATATTGTTTTCAGTCTCACAAACAGTGAGTCATAGCAGTAACGATAAAGCCTCGAAACACTAGATGCTACATTACTTTAAACTACCCTAAGCCACCCTGAAGCCTAAACCCTAAACCCTAAAGTATCCTAAGCCCTACTACCCCCTCGATTGTCTGGGTCTTCCTCTCCGACCGCCTCCTGGGGCTTCTACGTAGGAATGGAGGGGCCCGCCCGCTGGTTTTGGGGGTTTAGGGCTTTGGGGCTTAGGGTTTAGAGTCCAGTCACTGTCATTATTGGGCTTACCAAGGGAACATCAAGCGTAGACATATAGTCCGCAATAGGAACCCATATCCATCAGCTGTATGGGGACATATTATCTGTAGCCCACATAATCCCACTAACGCAGTAATTTTGACTTTCTTCCAGTCGTTCATTCCATTGACCAGCAAAACGCCTCTAAACCCTACATAATCCCTCTTGAACTCTTTGTTCCGTTTTTCTTCTCTTATGCAACCATTCATAAATCAACCTTATGAACGGAACGTTAAACCCTGCACCCTACGCCCTAATCTCAGGGTCTTCGTCATATACTGCATCCCTGCCATCATCCTGTTTGGTGTGCCGGCAATCGTTCGTCTCGTGCGCACACGTGTTGCCAAAATGGGACAGAACTGCGTCTAGCGTCGGCAGCGGCAAGTGGGGTTATGTGATGAGGTTTCAGGTTGGTTGAGGGAGTATGGTTCAGGGTGGTTTAGGGCCCAAATCCGGACTTTAACTCCTAGACCTTAAGCCCCGAAGAGCAAAGCTCTCTGTGCTTCCTTACGAAGGTTGTTGTTGGACTGGCTTCGGGAAATCAAATGAGTGCTACAAGGATTCCACTGACACGTTGAGTCAAGATAACTGGAGCCGCTCTGTTTGGTATGTTCACGACATCGGTTAAGGGTTGATATACGGTTTTAGAATGTTATATAGGGCTAGAGAAGCTCATAGAGGGTTAGTTAAAGTGGTCGGGCCCTTGAACAGGGCTGGAAGCGTAGTTTTAGTGAGCAGTCCTTAAATTGCGCGCTTTACCTTTGTACAGATCACTTCATGCCCATTTGCATATCCGTAAAACTCCAACGCAGGTTTCCGGTTGTGCGCTTCTGCGCAGTTGTCTGCAAGCGGACCATGAGACTCCCAACATCTATCTTCCGCTAGGTAGAGAAAAGCCCAAATGATGACGAGATGATAATCCACACTGGGATATGCCTGGAATCAATTTGTAGTGTTTGTGGACCATACCCCCATATGTTCTTGAGAAAGCCACAAGAATGGATTTGGGATAGAGACCCTAAATCCATCCCAGTTATACGCACTGTTATAATTAGCATGAGTGTTTCGTAATATACCTACCTAGCGTAGAAGTATGTGGGAGTTCCTTTTGCTCTCGGTGCAGCTATCTGGAAAGACCAGAAGTATGTGCCTCAAAAGCGGTTTGGGGGGCTGTTGCAGGATTGGTATCCCGAAACTGGCACAACATTTCTCTCCGAACCCCACGGAAGGAGCTAGAGAAGACCAGTGTCGTTTCAACATGGGCTCTAGTTGCTTTGCAGCAAGCAGCCTGAATGATTGGCAACATTGTTTCTGTTAATCCTCGCGTAATTCCTGTGCAAGGGACCCGAAAGCCGTATTCTCATCGTCTAAGCCTCTACAGTAGTCCAAACGGGAAAAGCCACCATAGCTTGAGCCTGCAACTGACAATGCCGAGGCAAACGTATTCAAACAAGCCAACTATGACTGTACTGAGCAGACTTGTGGGACTTACAAGTGGGTCTTGAACTACAGCTGTAACTCTAAAACCCGAATCCCTGAACCCTAAACCCTCCAGGCCTGCAAAAGCCATCCCTTTAGGCTACCGCACAAAGCCTGTTTTGAATCAGCTGACTCGGCTCGTCCCTAGGAGTTTCCGCAAATAGGGGCTTTGGAAAGCCCCAATTTGGACGGATCTCTATATGTCCGGATATCTCATTTTGTATCCCTATACCACCTTTGCATAGTTTGTTGAAGGGACCCCGAGTCTGTTTAAGAAGCCCGCGGAGGCTCCTTCCGCGGTTTACCAATTTCTCCGGCAAGGAAACCCACAGAGGATTCTTCTTGGAGACTTTGCGAGGATGAAATAGAGGGTGTAGGAGAAGAAGCCTTTCTCATTTGAAGTACAGAGATCGGTGCAAAAAAAAGCTTGCAGCCCAGAGGCGGGGAGAGGTCTAAGCCTAAGTACGTGCAATTCCCTAACTATCAGGAGTTGTACTTGCAGCTGCTTCTACTTTGATTGTAAGAGAAGTGCAGCTCAAGGTACCTTGAATTCCGGAATTGAATCCATTCTCATTCCGAGAGACTTTCTACCTGCATTGCTACCTGTCACCTACATAAGCCCCTGAGATCTCGGCGTGTCTCAAACCTTGAAAGACTTTAAGAAAAATCTCAGCATTTTGCATTTTTGGTGATCAGGCATTTGTGGGTATTATTTGGATTTCTTCCCCTTAAAGCTATTGTCCCGAAGGGGTCCTTGTAAGGCCTTTATAGCATGTACAACATGGTCCCAACATCCAGCCTGCAAAAAGGAGCCACCTGGCCTAGGGTAAGCAGCAAATGCGGATGCGGTCACCATCCGCAGCCAGGCAATTGCGCGCTCCTCTGTGCTAAGGAGACCATGCGACCAACACGAAGTACAAAGGAACCAGGTTGAAAGAATGTGTTAGGTGTGGAGGCCGTGGCTTTTCAGTTGACCTCTTTGTGGTTGCGGTAATCCTACACCCCAGACCCTAAATCCAGTTCCTATGCACAACCTGCCTCCAATGGCGGCATCCTGACCGGCTCAAAGCTTGACATCCAATCTAGGCTTCTCCGAAGGGCTTCCCGCTTTCGGGGGGGTACTCGAAACATTTTTCCTTATGATAATCCTAAGGCACTGCATTATTTTTGTGGATTTTTCACAATGGCTCCAAATTCAGCATCGTTTTGGTTGCGCTTGGAGGTTGATAACGCTGCTGTAAGGTTTCGGGTTTAGGGTTCAGGAATTTGGGTCTGAGGTCCAAGGTTCAGGGTTTAGCAGTATGACCCAGGTGGATTTGTAGTTATAAGCCAATCAGGACCATAACTGGGTACTTAGCGCATTTGTATGTCGGCTAGGCCTGCAGTTCTGAAAGGGTTGTAGTTGCCGCTGATCCTGAAATTAGCCGTGAGAAACCTGGAAAACCATGCCTTCACTTCGCCTCCACTGGTGGGATGCGCCTGGACGTGCTGGGGAACCCACGCGGTTGGCCCTCACTGTGACCCTACGTCCTTGTCAGAATAGCATTTTGGTCAGTGAAATTCGAGCTAGAAGCGGTTGATATCCTATAGTCCTTTCTGGGTACCATTGTAAATCACACTGATGCTTATTAATACGCCTACCCAGTTCTGAGCACTTGCCCCTTCTCAAGCTGCTTGCCTAACTGCGTGTAAGTTGAAACCCCCGAAGTCTTCTTTCCAGCCCGAGCCTGAACCTTTAAATTCCAACACGTTTACGGGTGCATTTACGGGTGCTTCAGGGGAGAATGGGGGAGGGCATCCCTAAAATTGATTAATTCGAGTCCTGATCGGTATAATGATTACATCTTCCCCCACACTCCCTTTCCGCACCCTAGCCCTATACCTTGGAATAGCTTCCTTTTTCCTTCCCACTCGCCCTGAAGACTAGGAAGGGTGTTCCTTTTGAAGACGTGCGGTACAGCTTTGGCGAAAAAGAGCGCGCGGAGGCAACTCGTGCAAAGTCGCCGTACCGGCAGTTTCCGAGTTGCAGTTCAGAAGCCTAAACGAGGAAGGCCAATTATGTATTATGTATCCACATTCAGGTCAGTTCTTTTTAACTTCCTCAGCAGCAACCCAGGTTTCCCATACTGGAGGCCGGCGCTGGACTTGGGTTCACTTACGATTTTCGGTTTCAGGGCTTGGGGTTTAGGGTTAAGGGTCAAATATAGATTAAGGTTCAAGTTCAGGTTTAAGGCTTCGAGGCTTGAGTTTTTAGGGCTGAGGGTCTTGGGGCCTAGCTTTGAGCGCTCTGAGCTGAGTTTTAAAGGAGAGCGAGGCAGTGAATGTAGGCAACACGATAGGGATGATCTAGGGTTGTTACAAGGGACGGTAAAATATCCCCGCGCCTCTTCGCTTAGAATTGGTGGGCCCCTTAAGTTTTTGTCCCTTTCATAAAAAGTCTTTACCGATAACCGGAGGAAAATTACCGATAAGGACCATTCCTTTATAAGTAGTTCGGTCAGAGATTTTTCCATTCCCGGTGATTATTTTAATCGATAACGCTACCGATAACCTACCGGAAACACGTTTGAGCACTTGAGACTCCTCGGAAGCCCATGGTCCCCGCCAAGGCTGTACAGTGATGCGACTTAACTCGCCCGCTCGTAACACTCTACCGCTACCAGCCCAATGCTACAGTTCACTATCGTAGCATGTGCTGAACCTCTTGGAGGAAGTTTACCGATAACATTGTGTTAAGGAAACCAAGCTTGGGAACGGTTTTTTTTTTACTGCCCCGATCCAGTGAACACTTAAACCCAAGTGACCACTGTAAGGATAGGCTTGTCGATGTGAATCGTTTCGGGGTTTTGCTCAAGTCTCGTGTTCAGCTTGCGAGGAGCTGCAGTGAGAACCCCGTCTTGGGGAGAACTTCAGGAATCAAAAGCTTTCACAAAGCAAGAAGTCAGTCAACTTTGGTAACCCTACCCGCACTGCTGTGAACAGGACCCCCTAGGAGTCATGATATAGTCATAGGGTTCCCTTCTCAGTGTTAGAAATCATTCAGACCCAAGACCGCTCCACATGCCGTCGCAGCCCAAAGGTGGATGGAGAAGCCGTTGCGCAGTCCAACACAATCTTGCGATATGTCGGTCGCCTCACTGGGTTGTTGCCGGAGGACGCTAAACCCTAAGCCCTAAACCGCAAGAAAACATGAGATTGGCAGTCTTCATCCCCTCCTCAAAAGGGCCATGTTCGGGCTCTAATGAAATTATACACCCCTCCCCCGATCTGCAACGTCCCTCATGGGTAATATGAAGGGATCAGAGAAAATTGAGGATATTAAATAGGTAACAGTATCCAAGAGTCTTTGAGTATTACTCTTCTACGTAGCGCTCGTGTTTCGTTATATGCTTACCTAAGCCCTACACCTTCAATCCGTAAACTTCAAACCTTAAACGCTAAACCCTTCGTGATGTACCTCCCAACGCCTGGTCTGGAGGATCCCTTAGCAGCCGCACGTCTTGAGGCCATCATGGATTTCCTGGCAGCTGGGTTACGGTTCAGGAACTTGGTAACTTACATTTTGTTTCAGGGTCAAGGGGTTAAGTTAGGGTCTAGGGTGTAGGACATTGAATAGGTCACCATACTGGAAATCAAATGAACCCACAGGAAATTGTGGGTTGAATAAGAATATGAGGAACGTGAGTTCACTGGCCATTCGGAAGGAAAGCACATAGTTCACTATGTATCCACTTTAGAGTAATTTACCCTGAACCCTATGTAGCCTCCTAAACCCAGTCTGGTTCCTTAACATCCTGGGTGCCCCTACTACTGCCCTTCGCAGCCTAGGTTTCAGTTCGGTAATTATCCTTGAAGAACCTGAAGTAAGGGGGAGCCTTGGGGGGGTGGATGGTAGACGAACCCCAGACCCTAAAGCCTAAACCCTTTGATTGACGACCGCAGCCCAGGCGATGGATGTGGAACCGCTGGCCCTGTGCAACCATCTTCAGGGCGAGGCAGGTTCAGGTTTGAGGTTTACGGTTTGGGGGTTATAGGGGTTATATTGGGGTTATATAGGTCCCTTTAAAGGGGGTTTATAGGAGTTATGTAGGGATAATGGAAAATAACATGGAAACTACAGGGATTATAGGGATTATATAGGGGTTATATTGGGATTATATTGGGGATATATTGCGATAATGGAAAAGAAAATGGAAGCTACTATAATATATTGGGGTTTTAAGGACGAATATTCTGGGCCTCTCTAAAGGCGTTGTAGGTGATGTGAGGGGTTGAAGGTTCAGGGTCTTCGGAATGTTTACAACAATATGCCTCTACATTGATTGTGCTCAAGATGATACTGGTGATGGTATAGGCCTCTACAGTAGCAATTTTTCCGTATACAAGAAGAACGGCTGCATCACCTTACAGTGAAATTTAGGGTGCAGGGTTTAGATTCAGGGTTTAGGGAAATAATGCAGAAACACATGGAAAAGAACATGGACAATGAAATAGAAACCCTTGGTCGGTTTGAAGTGGTGTATAGGGATTGTGTCGTGTCTACGGACATTATATGGTCCCAACAATGGAGAATCACAAGAAAATCGAACATGAAATGGAAGCTGTAATTACATACGCGGCTCTTTTGCTGCTGATGCCAAGCATCCTGCATGACCTTCATATACTCGAGTAGCATGATTTCCAATGTCATGGAGGGTTTAGTATCAGCTGGAGGCTGTGGCTACCATTTTATTCTACTACACCGGCCACAGCGAAGATCCTGAACAACCATGCACATATTTGTAAGAACACCCTAGCAGCCCTGCAACAACACTCCAGAATCATTCCAATAGTGCCCCTAGTGCATTACTCTAAGAATAAACAGCTCCAGAGCTGAACGAGAGAACTAAAAGAGCACGCCAGGGGTCTTCCGGTGCAATGCAGGGCTCTTCAAAGAGCACACCGAGCCAGCTTCAAATAACATTATAATCATTACCATTACCATTAGTGTCTTTATAACTCCCGTCGCTATTGGTATCCTTACTGCTGCTACTATAACATGAGTGCACCAAGATCAGAGATCCAAAAGCAATGATCGTAGTTGCTAGGATGACGCCTTGAGCGGGGGGCTTCAAAGAGAGGAACCCTTTTCTCCCTTTGCCCTTCCCGGCAAGAGTCCCCCCTGCTAGCACGCTGCTTTTATAAAAGATTTCCTAGACCTTTGCGCCACAAAAATCTTCAGCAGCCTCAGTGCTCACCTGGAACTTGAAAGAAAAGGCCTTGAAAATTAGCTCCGCCAGTTGAATGTGCTCTTTGTGCTCTTTTGCCAGCGCCAGGAAAAATTGGCTGCCCGTGTGGCGGCAGCTGCAGAAGGAAGTGCCCTGCATATTCTGAGGGTGTTTCTTGGGGTGGTACTTGTGGGCCAAGCGGGGGGGGCTTGGGTCTTCTGAGGGCTACACAGCGTCCCTATAAAGTAGTTATAAGGGTTATCTAGGCTAAACTGTGTCGTGGGTGAACGAAGATTTCGGCATGGGATTCAGATTCAGCACCTCTGGAATTGTAGAGGAAGGTGCAGGGGCTCAGGCTATCCATCCATGCGCTGCAGCATCATTGGGGATTGTTGGTTCGGAAATAGAGCACTGAAAGGCAGCTGTGAGCCACTCTGCACAATGGTGGTTAGTAGAGAATACGGAAATTAGCTCCTTTTCCATCCCTACATTACAGGTTCCCTTAAATTTTTCCCTACTAACCACCGGTAAGTTTGGGAGCCATGGGAGCCACTCCTTGGATAGGTAGGACCTAGGAAAGGTCTGGCCGCAGCCACGTGGTTTAGGGTTTAGGGTCTTTATATGTTATGGTTATATTGGGGTTATAGAGGGATAATGGAAAATACCATGGAAACTACTATAATATAATAGGGTATATATAGGGGATAGGGTTGAGGATCCATCGTTCCTCTGCAGGTCTTTCTGTGTTTGTGTTTGGAGGGTTTGCCTTCTGTCTTCACGCCAGGCTGAGGCAAATCTTGAAACCTGGAAAAACAAAACCTCAAACTTCACTCGTCTGCCGCTAGTCCCCTGTATCATCCGAGTTTCCATTTCACATTCTTTTTCTTCTCCATTTGGTTATCCATTCCTAGGCCCTAGGCCCAAAAATCTCAAACCCCAAATACATCTTAAAGTGCTGAGGTGCCTTCCGAAAGCGCCTGGGGCAGCTGGATGCGGCCATTGCTCCTCTCATGGGCCAGGAAGTGAACATGGCGCATTTGAAGGCTTTTGCTTGCTAGGGTGTAGCGGTAGCGTTTGGGATTCGTTCGGGCTTCGGGTCTAGCGTTTAGGGTTTAGGCCCTTTCTTGAAATTATTAGGCTTTGAGAATTCAGATGGTCACATCGTTCGCTGTTTGGTGGATTTTGAGTGTGTACAGGCTTTGTGTGGAAGTTCCTTGCAAAACCATGTTGTCTCCTATCTTGGAGAGCGCCCAAATCGTACACCTGGAACCGGAAGCCACGGAAGGTGGCTTAGGATTTAGGGGTTTAGGATTTAGGATTTAGGGTGCAGGGTTTAGGGTTTGGGGTTCAGGCTGCAGGGTTTGACCTGACCATTGCGGCAAGACTTGTAAGAACGGAAGCAGTCGTCATGAATTGACTCTCATGTTCTCCAAGTACCCCTGGTCCAGAATCAGTGGATGTGTACTGCATGGAGACGACGCCTTTCTTCCATTGGGTTCTCTGCAGAAGAAATAGCAAAGAAGCAGAACAAGAACTTCATAGTAATGACAATGGCACTGCTAATCATCACGGTAATAGCAACGACCCAGCAAGAATAACAATAACACCCGCAATAGCAACCACACTAACAATACATAACATTGAGTTTAGCAAGCATTGCGAATACCAGCTCATATAAGAATATCAAGGAACCCTAAACCCTGACCTTACATATCCCCGAGCATTTTTGATCCCCATATACCCCTCAAAAGGAGCTAGGGTATTCCCAGTAGGTCTTCTGTGAGACGAGTGCGTTCATCTCCGGTTTCTATGATGGCTTTCCAGCCAACGACACGCTCTTTGACGGCTGCGATAACATCAAGGCCCACCACTCCTAATTTAGGCCCAGGGAGCCCCTTAGCGGTTCAATGGTTTAGGGTTTAGGGCCTAATTGGGGAACATACCCCAGGCCCTAAACGCTAATAGGCGATAAACAGTTTCAAATCTCGGCTTCAGGGTTAGGGGGATTAGGAAGCATGAAGACGTAAGCATGCATAGTGTGATAGCGTTCTTATAGTCTGCAATTAAAGTAGTGACTTTCCGCAACTCTTTCCGGGCTAGATCTTCAAACCGCCACCCCGGAGCCTAAAATGACACCTCTGTCTGGACATATGAAGGCCTTGCGAAAGCAGATTGCAAACATGGACGCGGTCAAAGCCTACTATGAGGGCAAAGGGGGCCTCTACGCGGCTTTCGCACCCTCGAGCCTATGAGCCCCTGTGCAAAATCGCCCTATGGCTGTTTGCAGAGGGAGGTTCAGGTTAATTGTAAAGAAGCGATTTTTGAGTTCTATCTACAGTGATGAGTATGTCACCCTGAACCTCCAGGTAGAGTCAGTCAACGTGATCTGTCTGCGGTCCTGCGGCTGCAAACGAAATCGATGGTGTAAGGAGTTTGATTCGACAAGCTTCAGACCTCAAAAGTGGGCTTGCAGAGGTGTAGGGCAGATCCACATGAGCTACAGACTCAAGTTAGCTTGGGGGAACCTATGGGTGGATATATGAGCATAGGGGGTTTAGTGGGACCTTTAAGGAATGTACCATAACTTTAGTCCAGGGCTCATGTGTAACAAGACGCACAAAGTGCGGAGAGTTTTTTGATTATTGAAAGAAGCGTTCTTTGCTTCTATGAGCCTGAGACTGAAGGATGCGTAAATCGTGGCAAGAAGTTGAAATAGGAACCCTAAACCCTAAACCCGCCCGTATATTAAGCCCCCCCATATGTTACAAATAGGCTGGTCCAACTCCAACTTTCATCGCCTGCTTGTTTCAGTGCCCTGCCGCTGGGTCTGAGGGGTTCTAAGCTCTTGCAATTTTGGTCTGTGCTGCCAGGAAGTGGCATGGAACCGCTACAAGGGTCCCTTGTAGTCTAGGGGCCTTTTGAAGGGGTGATATCTGAAGTTCCACTTTAGTTCCGCAGTTGGATCAGCTCACGCTGGCTAAGAATCAGATTTCAAGAGTAGGTAGGGTTCATGAAAGCTCTATGATGGCTATGATTGACTGGAGGTGTGCAGACCTTTTGTACCAGGCCTGACAGGCCTTTTTTGAAGTTTGTTTGGAGGTTCGAGCTGATTATGACCTACGCATGCCCCAAGTACCCTAACATGGTTAGAGCTATCATTGGGATATAGCTAACAGTTTTCATTGAGTCCTAGACCTACACCCCATAAACCCTAGATAGTTCGGGGGTATTGAGATATGTTCTGATAGAATTTCATTGGGTTAGAAGTAGGCCATGGACCTCCAAGTAGGCGAATGGATCGCTGTTGATGGGTTTGAGGTTTAGGGTTTTAGGGGGACAGATCAGCTGGAGCCCCCCACCCTATAATAGTAATATCAGAGGAACCTAGTACAACTACCAGTATGCCTTAGAGTCACTGTTACTGGGTGGGGGTCCACCTAAGGGACATAGGGTTGAGGGTTATAGTGCCTGAATTGGTAGTGACCTTAGCCTGTATAATAAAGGCCCTAGAAAAGTCAAATGATCGTTCCAGAATCCTTTTTTTTGGGGGGGTTGTGGTAGCTAAGATCCCCTCGTCATGGGATCATACATCATGGCTACATGCTACATGCGCTCATCTCAGGCCTCTTCAGGGTTAAGGGTGTGGAGTTCAGGATTTAGCGTTTAGTACCGTTCCCAACTTAGTTAGAATCATTGCTGCCGTGCTGAGGATTGTGCATCATGCTCGCAAGTTTTGCCCGTAGACAGTGCGCGATGTAACCACACCATTTCCCTGGCTTCTCGACAGGGCTTGAGGAATTTGGTATAGAATACTTATCTTTGTGGCCTTCAATCGGGCAACCATTGTGACCAGCTTCGTTTGAACAGCAAGGCAATTTGCAAACTGCCCAGCCCTGTACACGGAATCATCAACAAGCATTCGCCTTGATGCGACCTAAACTTAAGGGTTACGGTTTAGGGTTTCGGGTTCAGGGTTTAGGGTCTCACTTCTCTCACTTCTGTGTTCGGCGGCCCTCCCCCCAAACCCATGGCGTGCTGCGGCCCGCAGAGTGGGCCGACACCGTTGCAGCGCTATGCGCAGTCCCTGGGATATTCCTGGGAGATTTGTCGGTGTTCGTGTAAGTTCTGCATATCCTGACATACCCCATATATCCCTAGAATACCTTAGAAAACCCAAGATAGCCCCTTTACAGGTACCTCTACTTTTGGGAAGCCCCCAACTCCTAAACCTGAATCCCTAAACCGTCTTCCTTAAACCCTAAACTTTAGATCCTAAACCCTAAACCCTAAACTTAAAACTTAAACCCTAAACCTTATTCCTTAGACCCTAAACCCTATTCCTTAAACCCTAAGCCCGAAAACTTAAACCCTAAACCTTATTCCTTATACCCAAAACCCTAAAACTTAAATCCTAACCCCAAGACGTGAAATTCATCCCAGGTCCTTGCATGCCACCTCCGCCCAAGGCGCTGAGGAGGTTGCGGAGCTTATGGCAAGGGTACTTAGGGGTTTTCCCTATATCCGCATAGAAGTTAGAATTTAGGGATTAGGGTTTAGGGATCAGGGTTTAGGGATTAAGGTCAAGTCCCACTTCTGGTACATGGGTAACCTTAATCCAGGTATTTAGGGGACTTGCGCGGGTGATGGGTGGGCTACCGATGCAACCATAAGAAGGTTCTCATGGGTATCCTTCAAGACATGATAGAGATTAACATAATCTGCCTCCGTTGCTCGCATTCTTCGTGTTTCTTCGTCATGACTACTCATACCAAGGGGCAGTTTAGAAGCCCTGGACCCGAAGCCCCACTGCTGAGCCCCCAAAACCTAATCCTTCGGCCCCAGCCTGCAAATTGGGCATCTCTGGCTTTGGCAGATTTTGGTTTACGGTTTGGGGCTAAGTTGGTCAGATATCGCCCCTGGCAAGTATAGGAATTTGCCCCACATCCTGTAGCCGACTCAAACCCCAAACCCTGAAACATAAGCCTACTGCCCTGAACCATAAGCCTGAGACCTGCCACCCTACTGCCCAAGCTTCAACATTGCAACCCAGAGCTCTGGCTTCAAATCTCCTTAGGACGAAGGATGGGATTCTCTGCAATTCTTTGCACACGGTGAGGACAAAAAATCCTGCATGCCCCTAAGTAACTCATATTTTGGGAATAGTGGTGCCACGTACTGGTGGACAAGAAGGTGGGGTGAGTGGAGATGTTCGACCCTAAGCCCTAAACCCTGAATCCTCAACCCCTCAACCCTGTGTAAGCAAGCGCAAGACCCTGTTGTGCCTAACCCGAGGATGCTCAGATGGTTTTCCCGATGTATACAGCCGCCTTGGCAGCTTCAGATTTTTGAGTTTTGAACACGGAACTGCAATCTAGGGGTAAGGGTTTAGCGTAAGCCCTTAATACTAAGCCCTAGGCCCTAAACCCTAAACCCTAAGCCCTAGGCTCGAAACCCTGAGCCCTAAACCTTAGGCCTACACTATGGAGTTTGAGGTTGGGTGTTTAGGGTTACCCCCATGGAATCTCTATAGAACCATTGAAAATTCAATTTTGAAGGGCTGCCAAACCTAGAACGGCGCCCCTATCAAAGCAAAGTAGTGTTCATAGGGCCCCTCTGCAGGTTATATGTTAGTTTGGGGGAGGGTAGGTAAATTCAGGATTAACATCTGTATACCGTCCTTGTAGGGTCCCTGGGCAGGTTCCATGTTAGTTCTGGGGAGGGCAAGTTAATTCAGAACTATATATATATATAGATATTCTTGTTTTTTTTTTCTTTTTCGGAGCTTGTACCTGCAGCTTTCTTTTCTTGTCATGCATATACCAATGCTCCATGGCTGTCATTCTTGTTCTTATGACTCTAGCGGCCTTACGATGGAGTGGATGTTCAAAATCATCCCATATGCCCTCCTACGTTTGTACCCACCCAAAGCTTCGAACCCTATAGCTATACCCTAAACCTTCTAGCAGTTTGCATTGTCTTGTCCACCTCGCCACTTCCCCATCAAACCCAGTAAATGGAGATCCTTCAGTGGGACCGTACTCTCTGCTTATCATCCCTACATGGGGTTTCCAGAAAATGAGTGTCCTTTCCGTATCATATAGGTTTTAGTACTTCGGGGTCTATGTTGGGGTCCCTGTACTGTTGGAAACTGCCATCCATCCCTTGACTGCCTTTTTGGGTCCCCAATCTTAAGAACACCCCTGCCTCTAAGCATTAAATCCTAAACATGAAGGCCTAAACCCTAGATCCTATAGACCATAAACCTTTTCAACCCTAAACTCTCAATTCTCAGGCCCAAGCCCCGACTTAAATTGACTGGAAGTTAGTTAAAAGGTTAGCGGTCTCATGTGGCTTGTCAAAATGTTCGATTCCATAAGCAAGAAAGTTGGCCGTAGAGATGTTTTTTTGTTATTGGCTGGTTGTTGACCAAGATGGACCGAATTGACTTTAGGCCCTAAACTTAAATGGGAATGGATTTGCGTGGTTTGGCCACTCGGGACGGTGTGTGGGTTGGGTGAATGTCGTCAAGAGCCAGCTCAGGCTATAGCAGCATGACGCACTAAAAGGGTTAGACCCAAAACCCCCAAACCCCCCAAATACGCCAAGAACTCCCAAAACCACCCAAAACCACCCAAATCACCCAAATCACCCAAACCCTCCAAACTTTAAAAACCCAAAAACTTTGCGCCCTACCAGGTGGCCTTGGATGATATCCTGGCGATGACCAAGATTGAACCGCACGAGGCACTTCAGGCCACCAAGCGCTGCTTAAACCTGGCTATGAAGGAATAATGTGTGCAACTACTAGTTAAGATAGCCCTGTTTAGGGTTTAGGGGTGAAGGTTTAGGCCCTAAACTTCAAGGTGTTTAGGATTGAGGGTTTCGAGTTTTGAGTTTAGGATTAGTGGCGCCACTTTCAAATAGGGAACTCCAAGGGGGCGATGTGAAATTAGAAGGACAATTTAAGGGTCTCACTCAGGGTTCGGTTTAGGGGTTTGGGGTGTCTCAATGAGGG